TTCTTTTAATTGGAAATTAGGAGTCAATGTAACGAATATCCTCAGGCGACGCACATGATAGAATAGTCCAACTCACGCTCCATTCATAACAGGGCTGCAGTTTGAATTCTGACCAATAGGAATTCGATAAACGCAACCGATGTCGACGGATAGACTAGAGATGGGCGCGAGTGTCATTTCATTTCTTTAGAACTAAATTAACTTAATTATTTTCTCGTTATTTAACCTGTTCACGATTTATGGATTTTAAATAAAGGGTACAAATCTTCGCGAGGATAATACGATATATTTGCTATACATAATAATTATATTTTGCATAGTTTATACACAATACATTTTTGAACGCGTACACATCTCTACCAAAATTTGACCTATTCTTCGGGTTAAAGACACACATTGTCCGCTCTCTAGTAATAAAGAAGTATAAAAATTGAAATGAATAACAGTGGCGAAGAATTAAAGATAGGTTGATCTGGCAAGCAGCACAGTTTAAATTTAACTTGTCATCAAAAAGTAGTAGTGTGAGGTGGTATTATACATGGTCCACGAACGTCTTTGATTGTTATACCTTGAACCAAGACTGACCAATTTTACTTGGAGTATGCGTTCCAGGATATTCTACGACTCTTTAGACATTACAGATACGGTTGGTGATCACTTTGTTTTTATAGCCGACAATGCTCTACCGTATCCAACTGTTATAGCTCAAAAATATGGTATTGATTAAATGAACTAGTTTTCTAATTCGTTCAATTTAAATTCAATAGCACATATCTCGTTACAGAAAATCCACTCTTAGCAACTATATCGAACTCCCATTTAGACTGATATTCTTTCTGTGTCCGAATATGCGAGCGTGATACAAAATGTTTAGAGATAAATTGCTCTAGAAGTGTACAGGTTATGTAGAGGGAGAAGTCTATGAACTTATGGCAACATAAATGGAGTGAGGAAGGAAAGGAGGATGGTCTAGGATCCTGATACCTGACTTCAGTTTTAGGTTAAAACGAACTATGGATAAGAAGGGTATCACCTGATACAAATTTTAACATACTATGGACGTAATGTGAAGAACAAGATATTCTCGTATACACTCTCTTAAATGCGGCAAGAGACGAGGGATATGTTAAATGTAACATTATGGTAATAAAGACAACATAGTTGGATCCATGTTATATTTTGTCGTGAAATGTAAGACGATGGAAAAAATTATTAACAGTACCTATTGTATCAAATAAAGAACAGAAGGAGAACGTGGCATGAGAGACAAGTTGCCTACCGATCACTGTTAACAGATGGCGGAGTGGAAAAAATGAATGTCAAGAGAAGGGTTTTTGCTAGTTTTCCGAAGTCTCAAGCCGCGAAATAACCTAATTCTGGGACTCCATGATGGATTTCCTTGTCCACAAAAAATGTTAAGTAAATATAAGATAGAGTATTATTTAATTTTTTATACAGTCAAGGACTCTTATCTATATGCTTGTTTGGTTCTCATTTACTGGTAAATATAACAAATTTCAGTATAGGCACAGGAATGGAATGTTTCCGTTGACTACGTTTAAAAGTGTATATTTTTGAGCTACTGGTGAATTTAAATTATTATTTTTGAATATTGGTTAATGTATACAAAAAATCTTTAAATTAATCTTAGTGTTGAGCGTTAGTTCCTGATACTATATAAAATAGCCTATTTGTAATATAAAAATCGGAACTAATCAAAAAATAAATATTGCACTTATCCTATGTCTATTCTTACCGGACGGTGGAGCTGTTGGAGCCAGAGGAGGATAAACAGGAACTCCTCCCACTGGAGGAGGATAACGGGGGCCTGGATTTTCTGGATAGCCAGGTTGTGGTCCTCCAGGTACAAATCCTCCTTGGTTAAATCCACCTGGGTACCCTTCTTGGTAAATTTGTATATTTCCTATTTCTGGATACATGAACACTTCTAAATTTTTGTGCACAGAAGGCAGCTTAGCTACAACCTAAGAAATAATATATCACATGTTTAAAAATATTATTGCTTTGAATTAACTAAGTTACTGTTATAAATCGGTATACTGTGAGCATCTCAATCTATAAAACGAGTCGAATATTTGGATAATCATTTCATTGATCAGGCGGGAAATTTAACTAATCTTCAAAATTAATATTAGTTTTTTGTTCATCGGTATAGAAGGCTATTTATTTTTTAGCGGCGGAGCAAATGTTATCTAAACTTTTGTGCTCTACATATCGACAATTTAAAGTGGTTACCCATACTTTGTATTAAGTTAATGTTTCTGTTTAGTAATTTAAAAGATTGTTCTTGTTCGGCATTTTCACTTTCAGCTTTCTACAATTTTTGCTTAAAATTAAGCGACATTTCATTACTTTTGGTCAAACTTATCAAAAAATTAATTAAAACCAGGTTTAGTTAGCTAATACAACATATACTAGTGCTTTTTATCGGTGACTATAAAAAGAATGCTTGACTGAAAAGCATGGTTACTGAAATTTTGATTGGTGGAATATTTTTCAAAATACTGTCAAAATTATTATTATTTTTTATATTTTAACATCCTCTATATTAAAAATGAGTAACATTTCTTTAAGGTTGGGACTGTCGGCCTAATTTGACATCGATGATTCTCATTCTCATTCTTAAAATATTCTCTATAATGTAATGAAAACACTGGCAACTGGTCGATAAGATATAGAGAATATATAATAAATATAGAGAAAGCATTACCAATGTCTTGTCAGTCGTCCCTACTATAGTTGTAGTAATTGGGACTGGGAAACCTGGACGAAAATGCTGCTTCAAACAAATATGGTTTGGTAACAGCGACTGAGTCAGTAGTCATTAGAAAAACGCGAATTTAGTAGCACTGTAGACATTGTAGATGTCTTAGCCATCGTTTTTTTATTTAATATATTTATTCCTTGCCATAATACATGCATTTAATAAATTTATAATTATGCTGCAACAATAACTGACGTATAATAATATGTAAATACCAGGTAAAAAGAAAAGCAAAAACTATTAATTAATATGAAACATAACTAGGTATATTAAACATACAATGAAAACGAATACCTATAACAACAGTACGTGGACAATATAGTAATATTAAGCATTGGAATATTTGAAATGTCTTTCTTAAGCGCTTGTTCAGTTTTCTCGTATTTAATCAATAATAGAATAATATTTAAATGAATTTATAAATACTATTCATGGCCAAAGACATTTTCACTATGGAGGAATACTTTCCTAAGATGCTGCAATAAATCTCTTTGGACAGTATACTTCTTGATATTTCAGTAGAATAAACATGTTTCCGATTTGTCTTCCAATTGATAATTCTGCAATTTCAAATTTCGTTCTCATGTTTTCACTGCTATCGGGATATCTATGAAATTTTTTCATACATAGATATTTATTTTGTTTTAGTCTAGTTGGTCCATAAAGATCTGATCTTAACTTAATGGGGCTGCAAAGAATCTTCAAGTTTGACCTTTAAGCCATGGTCGAGGGCATCATCGTATGATCCCATCAAACCATAAAACTTCCAACCTTTGCTGATGGCGACTTCCGGTATAACCGAAAGTGGTACGTGGACGCCATTAGTTGAGAAGGGCATGCCCGAAAACCCGGTATGCCAAATTTTCAAAATTCAAATCGAAGTAGTCTCTGAAATCATTCTAATGGGCCGTCACCGTGAGACACCCTGTATTAAGAACGATAGTATATATATCTGTATCACCATGAATGAAAGTAACTATGATTTTATGGTTTGATTTGAAAAAGGATTTAAAATATTGTAAAATTTTTAGAAAATCTGAGACCTCATCGATGTCATCATTTGATATTTGATGACGTTTTAATGAGAATGATATTAGGGTATTCTTAAGACTGATAATGGTAAATAAATTTAGTGTGTCAAGTTTGTTGTCGATAGAATTACCTACACGCTATTAGTTTTTTTTGAATACTATCTTGATCACAAATACATATGGTCCGTACAATATTTGTTAAGATAGAATTCCAAGAAGCCCCTGCGTCACTTGGAATTACCCGCATTCGACACCCGCGGTGGAAAAATATTGGCGAAAAATTTCAAGCCACGCCGCTGTCGGTGTAAATTGTTACAGTAATTCAGATAACAGAACTTTATTGGCTTATTCTTTTTTTGGAATTTTATCTCGACAAATATTGCAGGAACTATATTTTACAAACTTAAATAAAACTTGATAACAATAACTGAATAAAACTAACAATATCAGTCGAGGAAAAAAGAAGTAAATCAATTTAATTACCTTATAAACGTATTCGGCTTTGAAAAGCCTGCACTGCGAAAAATTTGGAATGGGAACGTTCATCGGTAACATAACGTTAAAAGTGTAAGTATGCTCTCCGTGAGCTCCTAGGCCAACTTCGTTTACATCCACAAGAATATTATCTATCTCTTTCTCTTCTTTGTTTGGTTCATTCACTAGACATATAATTCTCTAGGAGTAAAAATTTAAATGAGATTACAATTTTATGCGATATAATGAATAAAATTACCTGTTTCATTTCAAAACCAACTCCTTCAACGTTAGTATTCGACATATTAGTTAACCGAGCTGTGACATTTATAGTTTCTCCAGGAACAAGAGTCCTCTTGGGTAGGTCAACATCCAAAGATATAGGCCCTTGAGCGCAGCACCAGCAGCAAAGAGTTTTATCGTCGGAATATGAACTGGGCGCCTAAAATTGTTTTTTTTTTCATGAATTGTAAAACTATTTTATTTAGTAATATACCAGTAGCTCTGGTCTCCTCAGAAGATTCAGATCAACAGGAGCTACAACTACAAATATGACTTGGTCTTCATAATCTAAGGCCATTGGTCGGTCTACAACAGCTACGAGCTTATATGAAATAGATCCGTATTCACAGTGGTAAGTACCAGGCAAATTGTTGGGTAAGTTAAGAGTAAATGGATAAATGTGCTGCCCAGTGGATAGTGAAGTTGTTCCAGATACTAAATTAATAAAAATAATACATAAATATCTGGAGAAATTTTGAAGCAGAATATTTTAACTTAGATGACTGTTTCCGAGGCTGACTTTTTATTAAATGTAACTAGGAACATATTAGTAGATTGTATGCGTGGTTTTTGGGTGAATTAATTCAAAATATCATTAAACAGCTTCTCTTTATGATCCTATCGCCCTAGTCAAAATTCTATTTAAAGATGGCATTAATGCCGAACTGCACAATTTTTTGCACGTGGCTAGATTAGGAAAAAAAATTGTTCTGCACGGGGGCGGACCGGGAAAATTCGGGAAATAACCGGAAAACTGCAGAAAAACTTATTTCGTAAAACTTGAGAAGTATTGAGAATTTCACAAACATGTAATAGATCAAAGTTGTAGAGCATAAAATTCTCTACAAAAAAAATTGCTATAGATTTTTTCGTACAGTGCGTTATTTAGGAGATATTTAGGGATTTATATACCTACCTAAAGTAACGATTTTTATGCAAATCATCTAGAAAAACACGTGTTTCAAATCTGCGCTGCACTACTCTTTCGTTGCAAAAAAACTTATTTCGTGAATAACTTGAAAAACATTAGGAATTTCACAAACATGCAAAGGAACAAAGTTATCAGATCTGTCTTATTGTCAAAATTGATGACAGTACTTCAGGTGACATTGAATTACTCATACCTTTTCACATCGGAAAATGGTTGCCCAAATATCCAGGTAGAAAACCAGTATAATAGATGGAAAGAGCAGGTTCTGAGCTACAATTTGCTATAGTATTAATGCTGTATTCTTCTCCGGTAATCTGTATTGCGGGTGTTTTCATTCCTGCTGCTTTTTTCGGGTGGTTCTCAAACTTTTGAAAATATTAAATGAAAATAGAGTTTCATGATTTTTAATAAATCCATATGCTATACAGGATGTCCCGTTCATGTTTCAAAAAACTGAGACGCAATACTTAGATGTTTTCTTCGGTCTGGATGAAAAATAGTGGAACCAGCTCTTATAGCATAAAGCTATGAATAAAATAAATCACAGGCAAATTTTTGCCGGGATCGATTTATACAAAACGCATGTAATATTACGGTTGATTTTATATTACTATATATTTGTCCAATTTGGTTTAGTATGATTGGTTGTCCCAATAACTTTGTAAAAAAGCGCAAAGTTCGACTACCAACTAAGCTCTACTCGCGATGATCTCACATAGTTTTCTTAAAGAAAAAAATTATGTTTCCCTGTAAAATAGTACATAGAAGGAACGTTTGAAGTTTCATGCATTTTCATCAAGAAACGAAAGAGTAGTCGCACATTTAGTGCAGTGCCGCATTGACATACGTGTTTTTCTGGCTGATTTGCATAAGAATCCCTAAATATTTCCTAAATAACGCACTGTACAAAAAAATTCACTAGAAATCTTTTTTATAGAGAATTTTATGCTCTATAACTTTGATCCTTTGAATGTTTGTGAAATTTTCAACACTTTTCAAGTTATTCCAGAAGTAATTTTTTTTTTAATTTACTAAATAATAATTTCTTGAAAGAAAATCGAAAATAACTTTGTTTTGGGATACTGTTTGTTTTTCAGGTTTTACTTCATGACCTATGAAAAGACCAAAATGACCCCCTTACTCGAAAATTAAATAATGTAAAATCTCTATTTTCGGCCACCTTTTAAAAACAGTCACCTTTAAAAGTTCTCAGATCTCAAATTCCCAAAATCAATTATACAAATAAAAATCAATATTCCCTTAATTGCGGCATTCCCATAAAACGATCACGGCCACTTCCTGAAAACCTTTTTGAAAAAATACCCTTCACCTCTTGAGACCCTTCATACATTGTTTTAATAAATACACATAGGGTAAGTCCCGGATAGATGCGGCGTACGGAGATATGCCGCAGCGAAGTTATATCAGTTTTCTGACCATAAAGAGCATTTCATTTTGATTGCGCCAGTGGACAGACTTTGTATCACGGCACATGTTTGCGTTGATGTGTGTTTTGGTTTTGGTTCACCTGTATACGTGATCTCTAAAGGTGAGTATTGCAAGAGATTTTCCGAATTGAAATTGAACATATTTGAAACTCTAGTAAAACATATAAATACAAGAGTTTCAATGAATTACATGTTAGTGGTAGCTTGAATAAGGTTATGTCTTGATCTTCTTTTTCTATTATTGCATTTTCTTATGTATTTCGTAATATTCCTCTATTAAATATATATTTTTATAATATATTAAACATCATTTAAGTTCTTTACGTACATTAGAGAAAATTAAAGGTTTTCCATAATGCAAATTTTTTCGAAATGTGCGATATCTATCTCGGACTTACCCAATGCCTAATTTTCTCGAGGCTTCCTAGGTAAAATTGTATAAATTCCCTAATTATTAAAGGCAATTTCCCAGATTGTGCAGCAATAAAAAGTTCACTAGTATTCATAAACCCTAGCGGTAAATAGGCTATGCTAGATCAACTCCGATTTTGTTACAATTATTATGTTAAAAATAAAAGGGCTGTCTTTTAAAGATAAAATATGTAGATTTTATCGTGGAAAATGTAAAGTTCAATACCACTGCTAAAAAGTTGGGTGAAAAGTTTGGTGTTATTAGGACACAAGTTAACGGAACTATAAAAAACAAATCCGACTTGAGAAGCTCTTCGAACGTTCCAATCTAGAGCAGAAGAGAACATTTCCCGAAACTGAACGACTGGCGAGTATCAAGTAGTCTACAATTGGTTCTGTAAAAACCAGAAATCCCATATCAGGACGTTAATAAAAGAAAAGGCATTCTAAGCAGTCGAACAGTTAAAAAATTACGACATGATAGACACCTAAAAGTGAAAGTCCATCGAGTCGAATCAAGTTTTGAGAAACTTGTTTAACTCTGACTTTCTTCTTTGAATTGGTTTCGGGGAACATTGCATGGTTTACTCATCTAATTATGTATATACTTACGACCCCCATATAAAATTAATTCTGTAGAAAAAGCATCGTTATCGCCCTTAAAGAGAGTATCTCTAGATTTCTGTTGATTTTCCTCAGAATCATAGTAGCTTTCTGACCCTAACCATTCCGTGTGCTCATGACATACAATTCTTACGACCAATTCTGAAATTAAAAAAGTAGTCTTTTTTATTGTATTAGGTATACAAAAAATTGCAACAAATAATCCTTCAAGCTCCATTCCGTGGAGCTTACTCAATTTCGACAGTTGACGTGCATTTTATTTGATGAGTACTAACATAAGTAGGGTACATACAGGGTGTCTACAATCTTGGAAATGATTTCTATATCTTGTTATATTAAACAATATAATGTAAAAAAGTAATAAATAAATACTGACTTTCTTAGTTAATAAAAAAGTATAAACATAATGCGAATTATTGTAATCGAGAGGAAATTGACATGCGGTATTTTGACATTACAGTAGGTGTTCGATGCTGTCAACTCCTTCGTCGAGCGAGCTTGTCGAATTAAAGAATCACTAATTTCTAGTCAGGTGGTTTGAAAATACAAAAGGCCCTATTAAAAATTGTTCACACAGCCCCCCAAACTTTAATGAAGTAGTGATGTTGAAAATTAGTACGACGCACGGTATGGGGATTTTCTATAGACCACTGGTGCGTATTCTGGAAATTAAAAATTCCATTGGGGATAAAAATAACTTCGTTTTTAAATAAAATTGCGGTAAGAAAGCCTGGCGTTGTTGATAATGTTCTAATAACCAGTTGCAAACGTCTTCACTAGAAGATGATCTTGTAGTTGGACTCCATTTCATATGAAATGGATGCAACTGTTCTTCAATCAGTGTAAACCATACAATTCGGATAGACATTCAGAATTATCCAATAATTGCTTGTGTTCGTTTCTTAAAGTTGGTTATGTTCTATTAATGGGCGTAGGCAGAAAAATATCATCTTTGTTGTTTAAATTTTATATATTTTTTATGTTTTTTAGAAGCCTCTATAGAGCTTGTAGTCCTGGGCACACCCCAAGCTAAATTTGTAGCTATACCTCTAAGCTTCTATTGTTAAAGATCTTGTGTATGGTGAAGTGGAAATCGAGTCACGTATTTACACTTGTTTTCTCTATATGTATTTATCGTATATCAATAGCATATCCATCAATTCATGATTATTGTAATTATCCGCAATTGCAATAAAACAATAAACACTAATAATATTACTTGATGACTACAGTTTTGTCTCCACTAGGCTTATTAGTGTTTATTATTAGTTATGGTATCCCAAAATACTAGTGTAAAGAAACATTATTAATTGATGTTTTTTTTTTCACCTTCATTGTTTACACTGCATCAAAATCACTCTTGCGCAAGTGTATAAATTCTTGGCTACCGTACATATTGCTGCCAGTCAAAGAAAAATTACCTCATTTTAAAGGATAAAAGAATGATCAGTCCGAATGGACTTTGCTTCAGATGTTGAGCTTAGTAGTAATAGCTGGCAATAATGGCATTAATCTTATTAAAGAAAATTTTTAGCTATCGTTGCTTTTTCATCAGGACGTATCTCCTATTAAAAATAACATTTCAGGTTTGTAAATACTCTCTTGTTTAAGTATTAAATTTCTATATAAGAAGAAATAATATTGGCAATGACACAATTATTAAAAAACAGCAGCCTGGTCCAAATCTTGTGCCGAGTTACCTAATATGACTGTGTTTATGTTTTGTTCTGTCCACCATGTTTTTTACATAATCTATCTCTGAAATTGTAGAGACTTCCTTGGTTAAGGAAGAGGGTCAATGTATACCCAATTTTAAAGTTTTATGTAGCAAACTACCGTAGGTATTGTTATCTGTTACCTTAAATAGTTTTTTTAATAAATCAAAGCGGCTTCATATTGCACTACTTCCTGTAGTGGATGCAGTTTATGTTGACTTTTGGCTTTCGACAAAATACGTCAATCAGTTTTATTAAAAAACTTAATATACAGAGTGATTCTGTCATAATGTCATTAATTTTAAGGTAAGGTAGAGAAAAATGAATGAATACGAATAAAAATGAATATTTAAGCTGAAAACAATATTTTCAAATCATTATTTAAATCCGTTTTCGGACTGCTCCTGATCGCTGATCCACAAAGGTTTATCGAGACTCAACCTTGACGTACCGTAATATTCGGTCATTAACCTAGCTTTTAATACGTTTTTAATCCGTAGTGAACAACAACAAATAAACAGCTTTTTACTTAGACACATCAATGAATAAGATTTTTACATATTAAATATTAACAAGTATTATTTATTTGATAATAAAAACAAATGTATAAGGATAATAATTATTTTCGAATGTTAGGTTATTACAATTTAATATTTTTAATATTGTTAACGTTTTCACTACCTATGTTTTATAATTGTATATGAGTTTTTGGTATTATGTTCATTTAATTGTTCAATTTGTAATACGTATCCCTTATTGTTTTTCAGAGTATTATGGTACCTACTAATTTAAAATGACAGTACGGCTAAAAAACACTCATATCCGTTCATGGCACTTTGTTAATAAAGTTAGAATCCGCTGCACTTTGATTTTGAGACCAATTACAAAATTCAAAACGACTAAAGAAATTAGCTGTTTCGCTCCAACGTACGAACGTTCTACGATCCGCTGGCGCATTCCCTGTTGCGTTAGGGCAACGAATTAACGGGAGTTTACCCCATAATTTGCTTATTTTTTAAAATGTCGAATAAACAATTTTCTTTTTCGTTTGTCTTGTCTTTATTAGGCCTTTCGAATACGTCGTTAAAATTAATGCCATTATAAATGAATCACCCTGTATGTTTAATGAAGAATTACTCTTTGGTTTCTATTTTCATAATAAAACACAATATATTACATTTAATGGTTCAAATCCAAAACCAATGAAGCTGTATTGCTGGTTCCTCAGGGTTCGAACTTGGCTCCGCTAATCATTCATTCATTGACAGTATGTTAAGCAAGAGGCTTTTGTATGAAGTTAAAATCTACATCTCTTACATCTCTTGAGTCAATCAAACCCACAATCTTTAGGAATATTTCAGTAAACTTGTAATTTGACCCATTAATAATAAATTTATTAATTAAAGTGTTAAGTAAATGCAAACATCATCCAATACAGTTGTACGAATCATTTGAGGGTTATTTTTGAAAGTTCTGTATTTCACGTCATATTGATCATGTTGTCTAAGTAGCTTGGAAGGCATTGAGATTTATAAATAGAAATATTAAATCATTCAAAGACCTTAATACTGTAAAAATATTATGCCTTTGTTAGATCTAAGCTCGAATACTGCTCATTAATTTTAGATCCTTATTAAGCTTTTTACATTAGTAATATTGAATTTGTTCAAAAAAAGTATCTTTCATTTGGATCTGATGAACTTTATCCGGAGCGATTGACAACAACATATTGACAACTAAAATAAGTTCAATTTTCAGTCTTTATATTCTGTTTGGCCGTCCTTATATTCTTTATCTGCTTAATTTTTTTGGTATTCCATCCATTGATCAGATCCCATGTCATATTTTATTGTCAATTCCCTAGAACTAAACTCATTTTAAAACCTCCTGTATATAAAATAATGTGACATCTAAATTCAATTTAATATCTGAATTGTGTGATATCATGTCCAGTATACACGCATATTGCCTACGATTTGCACGTATAGTTATTTTATTTAACTACATTTTTCATTCTTTGTGAATTTGACAATGTTTCTTGTGCAAGTTGTTTTACTTATTACTACATTATATTATGAATAGTACTTTTTGTTGTACCTACTAATTTTTTACTTATTAATTGACTTGGAGACACGATACCTAAGTATCGTCCGTGAATGGAAATGATGGAGAAGTACTTAGTATATCAAATTTACATGAATTTTCATATAAACTAATCTATGGTAATGAGAACGATAGCAAATTAGTAGCAAGAAACAAAATCAGTTGAGAAATTAAATCATTTCAATTAATTTTGCTGTATGAATAAAAAGTTCTAAATACTTACTTCTTAATTTAGTCTCATCATTGAAGTTCAAGATAACTTTTCCTTGTATTTGTGCACCGGGATAGTACTGTCCATTATAATTATCCAACCAAACTTTACATTGTGACATCTTAGAGTTCTGAAATATAACCGATAATGAATGTTGATTGTTCCGAAGACATTTTAACAATAAAAATGTTAAATATTGACAGCATATTCAATAGTTATCATTTCTATTTTAGTATCTAAATACAAAATTATAATTTAAAAATCATATTTATTACCAACATACAACACCAATGATGCACATTTTTACTTTTTAGCATGTGACTTTGCTCATTATTAAAAATAAAGATTAGATTTTTCAAAACTGGATATTTGTCATACACTATATTGAAGCATTATAGAAAGTCCATAGATGCATTTCAGAAATTAAGTTTGAGAATTTCAAGAAAAGAATAAGCCAATAATGTTCTGTTGTCGGAACTACTGTAACAATTTACCCGTCAGAGGCGTGCCCTGAAATTTTCCGTGTTATTTTCAGAATATTATAATTTATAAATAATTATACAAGTTAAACACGATACCTACACTTCGATTGGGAATTAAATTCTTTTATTTTTCACCTCCTTTGATTTATTTTACTAAGAAATTACACTGAAAACGCACAGTGTCTTTCTACCTCGGGTGTCCATTGCAGTTAATTCCAAGAAAGTGACGCAGGGGTCTTCTTGGAATTCTATCTCAACAAATATTGTACGCACTATGAAAGTCTTCAAAATTAAGTTTGATAAAATGCACAGCACAGTAGTTATTAAAACGTATTCTTTGTGAAAATCATGGTCTCTCTCTCTGTGATGTCATTTATTGCACATGCTTAAATATGTAAATAAAATCACTATTTTCCGAATGCCAGGATAGTTAACTTAATCAGTTCAAGTTTAAAACACAATGCAGTTGAGAAACAGATGATGATGATATAACGCCTTTATAGAAAGGGAAACAAAAATGTTTATATTTCACAGTTGCAGATCTTACCTATATTTGGCAAGATAAAAATGAGCAAAAAAACTAGTTATTTCGAAATACACTGTACCTAAACAAATAAAAAAAATTTTGATACAAAATCTAAGGTTTCGCAAAAAAATTAGTAAATTTATAATTAAAAATTTTGGAAGTGGATCAGACACTATTAATTCAAATTAAAAGATCTGAAAATTTAAAATTAAAAAAGTTTACATTTTAGGTGTCTTGGAATTAGTCGACCAAACTTATAATTTCTATCGGGTGGTTCAAATAAGAAAATAGATTCAATGAATTTGAACAGAATTTCACACTTCTAAGCATGGATATAGCTAGGATTTGTGCTGGGGGTGGGCCTAGGGCTGCAAGCTCTATAGAGGCCTGTAAAAAAAAACGCACGCCTTTCAAAACCTAAACACTTTTTCGTTTGATTCTAAAAAAGGTCACACAATCAGCAACCCAACGATATAAAATTTCAAAACCTAAACACTTTTTAAAACTTGCAAGAATTAGAGGGGGAGGGGGGCTGCAAACCCTCCTGCTTCCTCCTGGCTACGCCCATGCTTCTAAGATATCTCTGAAGGCGTCTGATGTAGAGTGATGAAATTTAGACTAATCTAATCAAAAGTAAGTCAACCATATTTTTACCAATTAAATAGAAATTGTAAGTTTAGCCCATTAATCCTGAAACACCTTAGGTATATGCCACCCGGATGACTCATTTTATTTTATTTATGTAGTTTACTCTAACTTTGATAAGGTGTAATAAGTATGTTTGTGATTCATCGTACAGAAGATATTAGTCACTACTATTTAATAAACATTATTTAGAGTAATATTCAACCACTTGTATCGATTTTAGCATTTTACATAACGATTAATTTCTTTACCCTAGATTCGTAGGGATTTCTCCATATTAAAATTAATTTTTGGAATTAGAAAGTGCAATTAATGTTAATTATTTCTTAGATAAATTAGAATTAAATGTTATTCTGTATACTGTGGTAAAATGAGGAAGGAATAGGAAGTTTTGTGGAATACCACCTTTAAGAAAAAACTAGTGTGCTATTTTCTATAAAAAGCGAGGATACTCGTACATTGCTAGAGAATAAAATTAAATAAAATATTTGCCTTGATCTGAATTATAGAATATGAATAATTTATAGATAAGTTAATACATTTTTTGTTGTTTTGCTAATAATAATTTTAATATATTATGTCTATATTTGGAAAAAAACAAGCAAGATGTTCAATTATTGTATTCAGGTGCTAATATGAAACACAGTATTGGAGGCAAATTGAAACAAGAGTAAAAAATTGCTATTTTAAGCAAAAAATTTCCTATGGATATGGGTCCGAAAACACTTAACAAAAATGTTACAGGGTGATAAATGTTCAGTGCCTAAAACATACATATTTTTAAATAACTCCAAAAGGTATGATCTAAATGTCACATGTATTTGTCTTATTGATATCAATATTCATATTAGAAAGCAATATAAATTATTCACAGCGTTTTTATCTAATAAAATGTTCACATTTTCTATAAAATAATGTTTCTTTGAAAAAGCACTTTAAAAGATCCAAAAAAAGCAATAAACATTTTTATGCATTTTGAATATTTTGATTATACAGATTCTGAAAATCAAAAGTGCCATGGACTAATTTTAAATTTTACTCACAGATTATTTCAATTAAAATAAAAAACCAAGCAAATTGCAGAAGGAATCGTATAACACCGTAGTTGAGATCTTACTGAATCTTGGAAGTTGGAAGATAGTGAAAAACATGTGGGAAAAACATAATGTTGTATATTTTAATTATTGGTACAACGTATCAATAAAAACCGAGAGCCACTTTTGATTTTTAATGTATAAATTAAATGTACAAATTTGTTTATTTAAATAGCTTCTTAAATAGGTATAAAAAACAATTACGTTTCTAAAATGGATTTCTGGTAACGTACATTTATCTCTTTTTTATCAACTTTTTTACTAAGCGTTTTCGGATACATGTTTATAGGAAACTTTTTGCTTAAAATGACATTTCCTTTGTCTTGTTTCAGTTTTCACCATATTTTGTCTACTTCTAAACTTAAAACAATTATTGTCTAGGCCAAAATTGTAAGAAATTTTATTGTGATTTCAGAAATGTACTTAAAAAAAATTGAATGTTACATTTTGTAGATACAATTTGTTTTTACAGAACACCCTGTAATGATATAGTTTTCTTTACATAAATGTATTCAGCACAAGAAATTGATGAATATAAGTAGTATAAGTTTGAAATTTCTAACGAAAGTGTTGTTTATTTATTGGCGTTATTTATCCAAGTTAAGGTTTTTTCACATTTTCTTAAAAAAGTGAAATATAATAAAATTTTTTATAGGTTAGTTTGAAGAATAGCTACATTTTGAAGCCAAAAAGGGTTCGATATCTTGTTTTGTTATCAAGTTATTCGCAAATTAGTGAGCAAACGATGCTAATGAAAAGACATTTAATTAGATACCAAAACAAAATGCGTATATAAAAAACCTACCTAAACTCACGAAAATGAGTGAGTCAATAACAATCTTGAAAATAATAAAAAAAACTATAACAAACAGATATTGATATTATGTAACGAAAGAACAATTCAATTTTAACAAAAGTAAAGATGATTATACAGCGTGGTAAAAAAGTTCTGCAATAAAATTCACATTTTCGTTAAACAATTTTTTTTTTCGAAAAACGGTGAGACCCGTCGATTTTTATTTGATCCAGGGCACCTTGTTATGTGGAAAATTTTTTTTTCGATAATCCACTTACGGCAGCGATGACATAATTTTTTTTTTAAATGACAAAGCAATATTTTTTTCGTTCGAAATTGATGACAGTGATAATTATCTAAACAACGGTGTGAAAATTTCGATGTCTTACATAACAATTTTTTTTTAGAAAAAATGCATCTTAAGTTCTTATATGTGATAATTGTCTACTTACACTATTAATGGCTCCGAAAAGGACAAAGTTGACAAAATTACATTTCAAACGAGTAAAATTACACTAATGTTTGTGAAAGTCTAGCGAAATTGTTCGAATTGCCCACCCTGTACCATTTGGCATTGTCCTAAGCGTGTGTAAACGCCGTCTACACTTCGTTCAAGCATTCCCGGGTCGATTTGATTTATTTCAAAACGAATACGGTTTTTAAGTTCTTCCAAATCACCTGGTCTGTTTGTGTACACACGCGATTTCAAATAGCCCCACAAAAAAAAGTCTAGAGGTGTTAAATCAGGCGAACGCGGAGGCCACTCGATTGTTCCGCGTCGCCCGATCCACCGGCCAGTAAACGTGTTATTCAAGTACTCCCGTACTTGCACTCCATAATGGGGCGGTGCACCATCCTGCTGAAACCAAATTCTTTCCTCAGGAATATCAGGATCCTCGTTGTTCGGGAATAACTCTGCTAAGCTTGGGACCAAATCGAACCGCAGGAAATCCAAATAGCGAGCAGCAGTTAAATTTTCCTCGAAAAAATACGGGCCTAAAATACGACGCCCTATTATTTAGAGATGTTTTAAAATCTTATGAGCTTTGACCTTCATATGCGCAGAAACATAATTCCGACCGTCGCCTAAATTGTTCTACATCCTAAAAACATTGCAACTATTATTCACAGTCTCTCTCGAAATCTAGCGTAAACAAGCCTTTGATCCGATTACAAATATCATAATAAAATGCCCTATTTATTATTTTAATTTAAACAATAAAAATATATATAACAAACGTTCGCTAGTTGACTTTATTGATGCCCGAGCGCCTTAACTCATTTCTAGTTGTGATGAGGCACGTGGTCTAATTCTGAGTCAATGTTTTCACAACGTGCTTATTAGAAGAATTATGGGGATACGCCACGCCTTTCGCGCATTTCGCAGCTCATGAGATATTAAAAGAACTCTACCAATACCGGCAGTTATGTCGATGCACTGATCCATTAAGATAAAAAGTAGCCTCGTCAGAAAAAATTATGTTTTTGAGGAAGTCGGTGTCTTCGTTACATCGATGCATTAATCTTCACAAAAGTGGAGACGGCGGTCTGGGTCGTCCTCAGTCAATGCATGTATCAAGTGACCCTTATAGGGGTGAAATTTCTCTTTTTTGAGAAAGTTCACCACAGTTACATGTGAAATATCATTGTTCAATGCAATCGACCTTGTACTAGAATGAGGGTTGTCCTGGAGCTCCACCAGGATATTCAATCTAGTTTCATCATCTACTCTAGGACGACCCGCACGAGGAGCATCTTTCACACTACCAGTTTCCTCAAACCTTGCCAGTACCCTACTAACCGTAGATTGCGTAATTGGTGGTCTGTCAGGGTACGTTGCATTAAATAATTGGCAAGCTTCTTGATGGGTTCGTAACTTATCGCCGAAACCAATCATCCTCAAAATATCAATTCTTTCGCGTTCACTAAGTTTTGCCATTTCGAATTAAACGATTTCACCAAAGAATGTTAAATCGGTACTGATTTTTAGTCTTCAATATTTCAGGTAATCTACTCCTTTCAAGTAAACATTTCTTTGGATCTTTTTTTTTTGAGGAATTTATCGGCAAACTCGAAGACAAAAAGTCGACCTTAATTTGCTACATACTATTTGGATTTTGTGCGGTTGAACTTGGTTCTAAATTTTGCAGTTTTATCAGGATCCTGACAATATCTGATGAATAATTCCGCAAAATATTACATAACACCAGTTGCAACTTAAGTTATCTGAAATGCTTTCTGCCGAATAAATTTTTTCTAAGGCATTTGATCCGTAAACAGCAAATTATTACATTCAAGAACTTAAGGTGCATTTTTCTAAAAAAAATTGTTATGTAAGACATCGAAATTTTCACACCGTTGTTTAGATAATTATCACTGTCATCAATTTCGAACGAAAAAAATATGCGTTGTCATTTAAAAAAAAAATTATGTCATCGCTGCCGTAAGTGGATTATCGAAAAAAAATTTTTTTCCACATAACAAGGTGCCCTGGATCAAATAAAAATCGACGGGTCTCACCGTTTTTCGAAAAAAAATTGTTTAATGAAAATATGAATTTTATGCAGAACTTTTTTACCACGCTGTATATGCTCGAAATGCAGGAATTTAATCTTCGCTGTGTGCTTAGGTAGGTTCTTTTATAAACTCATTTTGTTTTGGTAATTAAATGTCTCTTCGTTAGCGTCGTGTTCCTCAATTTATTATCATTATTTATTTTTTGCTCACTAATTTGCGAATAACAAAAAAAGATATCGAACTCTTTTTAGCGTCAAAATGTAGCTATTTTGTTGTCCTTCAAACTAATCTATAAAAAGTTTTATCCTGACATTTCACTTTTTTAAGAAAACGTGACACAACCTAAACTTGGAAAGATAGCGCCAATAAATAAACAATTCTTTCGTTAGAAATTTCAAACTTTTACCATATTCAAACATTTTTTATGCTGAATTTATTTATGTAAAGAATTTGCATTGCATTTAAAATTTTTGAGAAAAATCCATAAAAAGGCATTCTTTTGAAATAACGCCATCTATAGGTTTCTATATTGAGTTAAACGACATTACATATTACCACGAGATAAAGCATGAAAAGATCCTTCCAATGAGGTATAGCACTATGGACTTTTGATGTGCTAATTCTTAAAAAAATGCATTTTTCTGATCAGACATTAGGGGCTTCGCCCACCCTTTCTATCGAGAGATAAAACAAAATGTCAATACTAAAAGTTATGCGCAATGAATCCGGCTATCCATATTTGTACTATTTCATATATTTGAATAGGAAACATTTCTGAGAAAAATTTAATTATCTTATATTATGCTGAAGAAATAAATGTATATAGACAAGCTCGTTAATAAACATCTAATTAGATTACTCCTTAATTTTTTGAATCAACAATTTTTTCCCTACACCACGCCGGCAGTTGAGATTTCATTTTCTTTAGCGTTTACTTTCAAATTCACTCCTGAGTCCAATCAAAGGGCAACAACTGTATATTCTTGTGTACACACATAATTTTTCCAAAACATTTAAAAATATATATTTAAAAGATCCAAAAGAGTGCTTAAGAAAAATTGTAGCAACATTCAGAAGTTTATTGCTTACAGATGGAACATCCTATCCAATTTAGCGAACATGTTAGGAAACAAATCATGCGAAGGCTGTAAATTCTTGTTGGTTTAGATAAAAATAGGCCTAATATGTTTTTCAATACATGTGTAGCTTGTTTTTATGGACTGAAAGGACACGCTATGAAATATACAACATACAACATAACAATTATAATTTTTAATAAACACAGGCCTTTTAATTCGTCAAAACGAACTAAAGTTTACAGTCCACGACTAGTATTTCAAGAAGTGTATTCACAAAACCTTACGTACACACAAACACACAGAAAGACTAAAAGTAACACTTTATTACCTGAAATTTTAGATTAAAACGGTACTGTTAAACAGAGTGTAAAACTAAAAATAAGGCTATTTCTGTATTATTTATGTGATACACGTGAGTTGTTCAAGAACTACATGCTACATGTTTTTGTATAATAATAATTCAAGATTAAGCGATGTATTTGCTAGGAATCTATTAATACTGTTACATAATTTGAATAAAAATTCCAACCGCACGCCTTTGGCGAAACCTTGCATGCAGACCAAGATAGATTCACACACGCTTGCGCAAGAGCCGAATTCATTGAATCACATACATAAATAAACAACCTAACCTAGGAGCTAATAACGACACACAATTTTCGGTGAATATAAACCAAAATAAGGTTAATCTTGTACTCACCTCAGTCCTATCTAATTCACCAACTAATTTCTGTGTTGTCAATTCTTGCCTATTGATGGATATAGAGATGGAAAAACGCATCAAACTCGCGTGCGGCTGACTGGTTGGGTTCAGTGGCGGACTACTTTATTCTGTGCTTATAAATATGTTGAAATATGTGGAGAATTTATACATAATATACAATAATAACAGCACCAACCTTAATAGCAGTGACTCATCTTATTACTTATTTTTATTGTGTAGGTACATAAACGTGTATAACAAGGAATTCTATCTAAATTAAATATTTGCATATTTCATCGTAACCGAAAATTATCACATGTATTGTTTATTATTGAAGACTCCTTTGTTAAAACCGGGTTTTATAATCTAAATAATAATAATCTTAATTTTTTAGTTTTTGAAATGCTTCATTATAGATACAGGGTGTTTTTCTAATGCTAAAAAATAATTTGCCTATTTTGTCAAAACAAAATTATAATAAAAAATGATGTGCAGATTTTTACTTTATATCGACAAATCTTTTGCATAATTTTGTTCAAATAAAGGAAAGTGCGAATAGAGGCAAGCGGGGTTGTAGTTTCCATTGACTCTCCCCTCCCTCCCCCAGTTTTTACCTGCATACGCTTATGGTTCAGCGATGTTTTTTAAATCAGATAATTTTTTTATATTTTTTTCATTCTTGCAAAATTTTGATTTGATTGTAACGTCTTTAGAAATGTTAATGTTTTTTTTGTTCTAGACGACGCTTAGAGTTTTACATGTTTTAAAAAATTATATGTTTTGATGTATTGGTATTAATTTTGGTCAGCTTTGGTTAAATGTTCTCTTAATCTAATTTGAGGAATTTTAATAACTTAATTTGTTTTTGTTAGATTAGAAAATAAAAAATAAAAATTAAAATGTTAATTTGTTGTTAGATGTTAAATAGAAATGTATGAAAATCGATACCAAGGAGGTTTTTGTCAAGTTGAGTCCGTCGCTTAAAAGAAATTGGGAATAACAGGAAGGGTATATCAATCACATATCTAATTTGTACTACGGAAGAAAAAACAGAGATTTTTTATTTAAAAAACAATACTTTATGTTAAAAATACACATAATAAAGAGATAAGGTCAATTATTACCAACTATATTAACAAGGCTTTCCACATCTGGCGTGTGACGTCACGTCAATGGGTAAAATGCGATTTTGATTAAGCAATGAAGCAATGCGATTTTTAATATGTATACGGGGTGATTCAGTCATAATGTCATTTAACCACGTATTCGGAAGGCCAAATAAAGACAGAAAATCGAAAACAAAAATTACTTTTAAGCCTTTTAAAAAATAAGCAAATAACTCCCTAACTCGACGTTCTACTTTGCATCATATTTGCTGACGCACCACAGAAAATAGCTGATTTCCTAGTTGTCTTATAGTTGGTTTCAAAATTAAAGTGCAGCGGTTCCCAACTTTATTAACTAAGTGCTATGGACGTATGAGTGAATGTTTTTTTAGCAACACACAATAAGGTATACGTACTATAAACTGAATAATTAGTTGAACATATTACCAAACACTCATATTCAATTATAAAACATAGTGAAAACGTACAATTAAACTGCATTAATCTAACATTCGAAAACAGTTATTATTCTTATACTCGTACATTTGATTTTATTAACAAATAAATAATACTTGTTAATACGTATTTAAAATGTAAAAAAATAATTTATTCATTCATGTGTCTAGGTAAAAAAGTCAAGCTAGGTTAAGGCTTATTTGCAGTTGTCACTTTTGATGATCATCTTGGAGGAATCATCTAAAGTGATAAGTGTAAATTGCCTCTCATTTTGATTTCATCCAAAGTCTTTTAATTGTCAGTGTTGCGAGAAACAACTACTCCGAGGGCTATATGCCCCTACCGGCATTGAATTATACTCGCAACACGTAGTCCACCAGCTAGGGTCGTTCGTCAGTTTAACCCACCAGGCACAGACCGATTTCGGACTTATTAGTCCTCATCAGTGTGTCATAGGTGAGACAACCGACGAACGAACCAGCTGTTTTGTGTCGTATCATCACGACAAGGAAATACATTGTACGCGGGAGTGCAAATGGCTCCATCTGTCATGCTGACTCCCAACTGTGCCATTCAAATGGCTACAGTAGGATGCGACCAGCTATATTGCAGGTACTTGTTGCACGACTGCCACAACGGTTTGTCGGTTGTCTCACTTATGACACACTGATGAGGACTAATAAGTCCGAAACCGGTCTGTGCCTGGTGGGTTAAACTGACGAACGACCTTAGGTATTGCACTAGTTGTTGCGAGTATAATTCAATGCCGGTAGGGGCATATAACCCTCGGAGTAGTTGTTTCTCGCAACACTGACAATTAAAACATTGTCTTCGCCCTCTGTGGGTGGCAGTCGTGCAACAAGTACCTGCATTATAGCAGGTCGTTTCCTACTGTAGCCATTTGAATGGCACAGTGGGGAGTCAGCACGACAGATGGAGCCATTTGCGCTCCCGCGTACAATTCATCCAAAGTGTACACTAAAGATGCAGGATGAAATGTATTGATTACCGACCAACTTTTGATGAAAGAATCGTTCCCCGAACCGATGATTCATCCAAAATGAAGGCCCAGTGAAAAATGTAAACCGCCACTGTTCACTTCACAACCCCCAGTCGAATCTCTATCGTAGTTTTTTTTGTGTTTGCTTTGGTTGTTTTAATTTAAATTTGTTTGACGAAGCTCCCAGATTTTCTCTCCTTGAAACCCATGGTTTCACCCACCAACGTCTTTCGGCACGTTCAGTTGTCGATGTCACTGAATTCAGTTCATGTAGCAGTTCACGTGAAATCTTTGCATTCCTTCTTGACAAGACATTCTGCCACCTGATACCACTACTAGTTGTCTTTTTACTTTTCACAGACACGAAATAGGAACAGTGACAGTGAGCGGGAGGTGAAACCAACAAACTGGATGAAAATATGTAAACGAGAATGATTACCTTGGATGCTTTCACTCTAAGTGTAAATCCAGCTTTAGTGACCGAATATAGTAAGTCAATATTCACTCAGCGGTCAGGAGCGGTCCGAAAAGGGGTTTAAATAATGATTTGAAAATATTTTCTTTCAGTGTAAATAAAGTAAATATGCATTTTATTTTTTTTTAATTGCGTATTCGCTTTCTACTCATTTTTCTCTATTTTCTCTTAAAATTAATTAATGACATTGTGACTGAATCACCCTGTATACATATTATAGATGCAATGAGATCAGAACGATATAAGTTAATGTGTTTCATGCTGCAGCTAATTTAATGAAAAATAATAATTGCATTAATACATCCTTTTGAAACCTTAAAAACCTTAAAGCATGCGGAAAAATATTTCAGGCAAAAATGATCACTTAGTAGAATATTGATTCCTTTCTTTAGGACATATACAGTCCGTACAATATTTGTTCAGATAGGATTCCAAAAAAAAAGTCAATAAAGTTCTGTTATCGGCACTACTGTAATAATTTACTGTGGTAGGAACGTGCCTTAAAATTTTCCGCGTTAATTTCATAATACTAAAATATATAAGGTAAATATATAAAGGGTGATTCAGAACTTATCCGAAAAAAAATTGGATGTACAGGGAACTCCTACAAATACAATTTTGTAAAGAAAAAATCAAAAAGGGCAGTTCGAAAATGATTAAATAATACACATCTGCACGGCACTGGAAACTGATCCACTGTAAAACCTGACCCACAATGTGACGGGCATGGCGGCACAGTGTGATAAAAACGGATAAAAACTTGAAAGAATTTCGCAAGGAAAGAAATAAATAAAATTTTATAACACCTAAGTATTTTATATAATTCAACTACTTTTGCCGCTATTATTATTATTAATTAATAAAATTAATTTGTGGTTTGAATTAATAAAATAATTTGACATACCTGATGTTACAACAACTGTTCAAAATTTTGTCCACCAACGTGTATACACATTTGGGTCCGTCATACTCAGTTTCTACGAACTAACACAAATGTTGTCTTGCTTCATCATAAATTGAAACGATATCCATCAACCCCGCGTTGCTATACATGCAAGCCATTTTTGATTATAAGACTAACTACTAAGGAACTATTGTAAACACTATGGCAACGACGATTGTAAAATCGGATTTCAGTATTCGGGGTCACTGAGGCCACGTGGCTGTCCACGCGTATTGTGAGTGACGCTAGAGGCTACAGTTCAGCTATGTAATGGTTGAAAGTAATATAGCAATTTTTTTCTTGGAAACTATAAGGATTTTACGATATTGACTCCATTTCTCATGCCGCATCTATTTCCATATTTGTTTGGGTAAGTTGTGAATCACCCTGTATAAAGTTTATTTTTTGGATTGAAATGGGTTTTTATTTATGTGATATTTTTTATTTTAATAAGAAATTACACCGAAAATTCACAGGACGATACACTTAATTGTATGCTTATTTTGTGTGAATGAAATTCAGTGTAAGTACAGCCCGTAGGATACCTATTTATTGAATTGTAATTACGTAGGAACACGCCTTTGTAACTGCAGAACACAGTATGCATTGCAAGCTGCTATGGTGAAATTCTACCTCAGGTGTCGAACGCGGTTAATTCCAAGAAAGTGACGCAGGAGTCTTCTTGGAATTCTGTCTCAACAAATAATATTGTGTGAACTCTATAGTAAGCAGTTTTAGGAAATTTTGTAATGTTAGCGAATGCACAGTAATTTAAAAATACTATGACGTACTGAATCACGAAGATAACGAGCGTTCAAATAAAAACGTGGTCAAGTTGGTTCTGAAAATTTGGACGTAGGGCGTAGCGTATAGCAAATGAACTTAAACGTCATCTGTCAAAGCGCTATATCGCCGCTATCAATTTGAATATTTTCGTTTTAAAAAGCGTTTAAAATGGTGTTTTCTCAAGAACAAAAAGTGTTTATCATAGAGTCCTACTTTAGAAATGGACGCAAGATTGATGGAATATGGAAGTATTCTATTGAGGAATGTTTCATAGAATTTCAAAATCAATTTCCCGGCGTTGTTGAGTACAAAATTTTTCAAAGTGCAGTTCAGCGTTGTGTTAATGTTTTTCG